TAAAAGTAGCAGACTGTTAGCTAAAAACTAAAAGCAGCAGACTGTTAGTTAAAAACTAAAAGTAGCAGACTGTTAGCTAAAAGTAGCAGACTGTTAGCTAAAAGCTAAAAGTAGCAGACTGTTAGCTAAAAACTAAAAGCAGCAGACTGTTAGCTAAAAACTAAAAGTAGCAGACTGTTAGCTAAAAGTAGCAGACTGTTAGCTAAAAGCTAAAAGTAGCAGACTGTTAGCTAAAAGCTAAAAGCAGCAGACTGTTAGCTAGAAGTAGCAAACTGTTAGCTAAAAGCTAAATGTAGCATAGAAACCGGCAGCAGCTGAAGAAGCAGTGAATAGGTCTGAATGTGTTTCTGTTTGTGGGTTCATGACGGGTCGGTACCAGGAGGTTCTGACCGTCGTCCCCGCCCCGACCTGGAAACAGCCTGATGGATTTTACTCACTTCATTGATCCTGATCCGGATCGATCCTGGTCTGTGTGGAACCAGATCAGGTCTACAGGTCAGTGCTGCAGCTGCTGGACTCGGATCAGAACCTCAGGATGGGTTCTGTCAGTCTGGACTCTGGATTCATGTGAAAAAAAAAGAAAATAAACTTCAATCAAAAGAACTGACGTCAGAAAAAAAAAAAACCCTGTAAATTTCCAGAAGAAAAACAAGAATGAAGCAATGAGGGTCGGACCRGATCAGAACCAGCTGACCTGAGGTGACCTCTGGACCGGGGTGGACCGGGGGGGTCTGACTGTCTTCAGTCTGAGTCTCTGTAAACCTGGTCAATAACAGAAAATCTATAAAGATAAAAAAGAGCTCAAATATTTACAGGTTTTTTTTACGACTCGTCTGTTTTCTGATGAAATTATTCAGATTTTCAAACTAAAAGCTTCAATAAGAAACAAATTAATCTTTAACCTTTTAGCTACTGCTCTTACAATTTTARCTTCAGCTGCTGTCTTACTCACTTTAGCTTTCATAAGCTGTTTTGATGTTTTAGCATTTGGCTACTGGTCTGTTAATTTTTAGCTACCGATTTTTAAGCTGCTGTTTTAACGTTTTGCTGTTTTTGCTAATATAATCTTTAGTGTTCTGCTCATGTTAGCTTTTATCAACTGTTTTGATGTTTTCTCTTTTAGCTTCTGTTAAGATAAATTTAGCTTTTAGCTGTTCTTTAGCTTGCTTTAGCTTTTAGCTACTATGACAATRTTTAAGAACGAAGCTACTTTTCTGCTAACTTGAAGTTTTAGTTACTGTTTTGCTTCTTTTATTCAGCTACTGTTTTCATGTTTTAGCTTCTTTTAGCCTTTGATTCTTTCAGCTGCAACAAGTCAGTTTCAGGGTTTTAGCTCATATCAGCTGTGGTTCGGCTGTGGTTCAGCTGTCGGGGTTCAGACTGTTTACACACACGAGGAGTCGTTATTTTTACTTTTATTTCTTTTTATTGAAAAACTCAAACATTGTGAGTTTTTTTCTGAGTTTCTCACATGATGTAACTGAAGGAAAAATCCTGCAGGTTCTGTGTGTGTGTGTGTGTGTGTGTGTGTGTGTGTGTGTGTGTGTGTGTGTGTGTGTGTGTGTGTGTGTGTGTGT